TATTTGTGTAGTTACCCACGTTCGAGAGTTTTTTTTAAGTTTTATTTGCTTACTCTATTATTTGCAGAGCTTCATATGATTATTAAGAGTATTGACTACCTTATTACTACGGTTTATGTAATATCCTGTAAAAAAAAAGTTGGATACAAGTCTCCCTATTTGAGTGTTCACCCGGTTTAAAATCGTGGATCTCGAGGAACATACGAATTCATTCGACCAATCAAAAACGTGGAACTAGTTCGAGAGTCTCGTTCAGGTGGCGCGTCGACGCGCCAAAACACAGCTCCAGATTATCACGCGTAGTATTACTATATATACACGACCAATCAAAAACGTGGAACTGCTTCGAGGGCCCTCCGCTAAGGTGGCGCGCCGAAACCAAAGAAAAATTGCCATCACCAAAAACAGGCTCATTGGCAATCTCCCTACTTATCTCTGGTCTAAGTCAATGGATACACCGATCCAGGAATTGATTGTATCGTATCGATTGAGATCCTTGATACGCATATGGTTTTTCTCATTTTTCTTGCAAACGATGGACTATCAAACGTTTTTATTAATTAATTCGCAACTATCAAACGATTTTGCATCGATTGAACTCCGGAAAAACAAAATCCGGTTAGAAACAAAAAAGTGCCGGCCAACTTCGCACCAGATTTTGATTTTGATTTTCTGAAAAAACTATTGACTATCAAACGTTTTTACAAGACTATCAAACAGTATCAAACGACTATCAAACGATTGGACTAAGAAAAAGTTTAAAAAATAAAAGTTGGCCGGCCAACTTCACGCAGGTCCGTTTTTCACGGTCGCTTCTTCGAAGAAAGGGCCAACTATCTCGGATCGAATTCTCGAATAGCGGACATAGGTTACACAACCTTCAGAAAAGTATTGTGGAATTATATAAAAACTCGTTTTGGCGTATAACTCTAATCATCTAAAAACAATTAAAAAAGAAACATGGCAGAACATTTAATTCCATTAGACATTCTTGATGATCTCAGCAGGTTAGTTTTATATTAATTGAATATTGGTTCGTAGTTCAGTTGTACATATTATAGTTAGTTTTTAATCTCATTTATGGTCTTTTAGTCGTTTGAATCCTTGATTAATAATTTTTGCACTGCACAAATTTCACATTACTCACTTTAACCTTTTTGCCTACAATATCGCGTAAGATTCGTCATATGGAAATAGGGCTAAAAATAAGAACTGCGGGTAAGGGCTGGGGTACGATTATCAGTATGAACATGGTAAACATGTTGATTGTGGCACGCGCCATCGAAATTAAACTCGTGGGTCAAACTCTTCAGTGGATAATTCTGATATGACAAATCCGATTGTTGTATATTTCTCATGAGAGAAAAATAACGCGTTGATTGGAGGATTATCCATACTGCTTGTGAAAAATGTTTCAATGATTAAATAAGTTTTTGTGTTTATAAAATTTTAATATTTGTTATAGTCGATTCATCATCAATGTTCCAGAAGAGGAAAGGAAGGACTTAGTACGAATATGCTTTCAAATTGAGCTTGCGCACTGGTTTTATTTGGACTTTTATTGTACAGAAGATAATCCGAAGTTAAAGTCCTGTGGCATGAAAGAATTTGCTACACATATATTTCAACATATACCTTTTCTGAAACCACATGTAGCCCACATTGATTCTGTTCTGGAACAGTGGCGTGAATACAAACAAAATGTACCAACATTTGGAGCAATTGTTTTAAATGAAGATTTAACAAAAGTATTACTTGTGCAAAGTTACTGGGCAAAAAGTAGTTGGGGTTTTCCAAAAGGGAAAGTAAATGAAGATGAAGATCCATCTCATTGTGCTGTACGTGAAGTTTTAGAAGAGACTGGTTTTGACATTTCTAACCTGATAGATAAGAATGAATATATAGAATCCACAATAAATGATCAGCTAGTAAGGCTCTATATTATATCTGGTGTACAAAAGGATACAAAATTTCAACCAAAAACACGGAAAGAAATAAAAAATGTGGAGTGGTTTGCATTAGCGGATTTACCAAACAATAAAAAGGATATGACACCTAAAGTAAAAATGGGAGTTGGACCAAACGCCTTCTTTATGGTTGTTCCTTTTGTAAAGTAAGTACATTAATATTTCAATACTTATCAATTTACGTTGTCATACCGGTGATAAAGAAATTTATTATTCTATTATGTTATCAGTTATAATGGAGAATATTTAAAGTATCTTATTAAGAAGTATGATTAAGCAAAAATTGGGTAATGCCGACCACTTACAGAGAAAGTTTTACAATTTCAAATATATGTAATTAGTAATTAGTATATAATCAGATAATACCTTGTAGTATATGCTAGGGTTGCCTAATACAAGATGGATTATTTATAGAATTAATCTGCTCATCTTTGATAATGAATAATCTAAATCTATTCTTGAAATTTGATCAATCATCTATATTAATTTTCAACAACTACAAGATTAGTTTAGAATTATTAAAGTTGGGTCAACGTTAGTATCTGCATGTTCCTATCATGTATAAACTAGCAGCAATTAAGTTAAATTAATATTAAATTCCAGCTTGTTTTAAGCTTGTTTGCAGCTTAAATTCCATTTTATTTTAGTTTCTGAATATAAACGTTAAAGTTTTGTACCTCTTTTTTTTCACTTTCAATTCTAAATTTTTGTCCTGCTGTTGGCACTAAATAATCCGTATATGGAGTGAAATGTTTATTAAATTCAAAAATCCTTTGTACACATTAGTACCCTGGTAGAAGTATATTTGACATATTTCGGCAAAATTATTTCAAAATGATGAAGATATGACAAATGACAATGATTTGTCAGAAAATAATAATGTTTGGCAGAATGTAATATAATTGATGAAAAAAATGTCGAATTCTGACAAATTTCTGTCACAATTGTCTTTTTTAAAAATACATGTTTTGGCAAAAGTTGACAGATTAAATCAGAAATATATCACATATTTCTAAAGTCTTGCAAATTATGTTAAAAAATGTAGACAAAATTTGATAAAATCTGTTAAATATTATCTTCCACATTATGTGAGAAGTGGTCATATTTAATAAAACTGAAATATTATCAAATTTCGTCCGAAGTAACAAACAAATTTTAACGAAAATGTAGCATCATCTGATAAATATTAAATGTGTAAGAAATTAATTGACACATATTTTTTGGAAAATTATCACATTGTGTTGTAATTCTATCAGATTTTGCCTAATCCAATAGATTTTCATATAAACAGATGGGAAAGTATTATATGTATAATGAAATAAATTGTCAAGTATCTGAGAAATAATATGGGTCAAATTTTAAGAGGTATTGTCAAATTATGTCGAATATTAGATGCCACAGACTTATTTGAAAAATCGAAAAAAAAATAGCACAATTTAACTTCTGTTTAAGAAATATATGTCATTACGATAAGCATAACAAATTGCAGTGTACTGAACTTAAGGTTCTGAGGAAAGAATAAATAAACGGTATTAATTATTAAATTAATAAAATAATTAGTCCTAATCATTTTAATATGCGTTGAGCTAACTGTATTTCAGAAAGTTAAATTGGCAGCAGTTGACACTAAAAAAATGAAAGGAACTAAAGGAATCGAATTTAATCTTCTTTCAAATAGTTATTAATTATCAGCACTCTACAGTTTTGAATAATATTTTTTAATATCTGGGAATAAAAGGACATAGTAGGCTGTTGATATGGTTTGATAAAAGAAACTACGTATTTCAATGTTGCTATGGCATATTTAGTAGTTAAAAAAGGATATAAAAGTTAATTAAAAGAAATAAAAGTAAATTGTAATCAAAGTAATTCAATAAAAGTAATTTCTATAATTTTGCGACTGTTATGATAACGTAGTGAATAGCGTGCATGGCTGTAACGTAAGAAAATTTAGTTCAAAGAGATAATTAAAGGGACAAATGTTAGCAACAAGACGGAGGTTAAATGAATTTCCGAGCGAAATATACATTTTTTAAACAAATTTTTAAGTTTTAGTAAAAATTATGTCAAAAAATAATCTTTTTATTATAGAAAGACAAAAAAGTATTTCTATAATTAAATTTCAAATTCCATAACAGTTTAGTAAATTATGCAAATTACACGTTATTATGTCGATCAAGTTTTAACAGAAGTTTTCATATTTCATTAAAAATAGCTGCTAAATTATGTTAATGTTTGTAAGGGAAACAGGAACATTCCGACAAGATGTTCCAGAAGTTGAGCATAAATTTTCAAATTTTTACAGAATATTACAAATTTTTATTGTATACGTGTAATAATTCTAAATCATTTTTGTTAGAATTTCAAAGAATCTGAAAGAAATATTTTACAAACAAATTCTGGCGAAAATTTGTATCAGGGTAATTTCAGATCTATGATTAAAAGCGATTTCCAGTGACAGAATGGTGAAAATGTTCTAGTTTTTCAATTTTATTATAATTAAAAACATTGTTTTATCTATCATTATTTTATTATCTAATTTGTAGGTAGATAGACCTTGCATTAATTTAAATTACTGTAAAAAAGCAATTCTTTCATCTTGATCTTTGAACCCTATGTAAGTTATTTTATTTTATTATAGTCTATAATTTTCGAGAGGAAATTCTAAATATATATTTTCAAAAGTTCTGAATTTGGCACCATCGACTTTGTGTATATTGCAATCTAATAGAAATTAAGACAAGAAATTATAATGATTAGCATAAAACGAATTAAGTTTGTAACACTTAAGTAAATTAGGATCAATATGAATTTTTGCTTTCTCTATTCGTTGTGACCTAATCCTGAGTTCTGTGAAAGTCCAGGGTGTCCAGGTGTTTCGCTCCGTAGTTTTCTGTGTCTAGATGTCGGACGTGCAAGTTCAGAGTGTTCCGCTCCGTATTTTTCTGTAGCTAGATGTCGGACATGGAAGTCAAGGGTATCCAGGTGTTCCTCTCCGTAGTTTCCTGTATCTAGGTGTCAGTCATGGAAGTGCAGGATATCCAGGTGTTCCTCTCCGTAATTTCTTGTATCTAGGTGTGGGACCTGGAAGTCCAGGGTGTCCAGGTGTTCCTCTCCATAGTTTCTTGTACCTAGGTATGGAACCTGGAAGTTCAGGGTATCTAGGTGTTTCTCTCTATAATTTCCTGTATCTAGGTGTTGGACGTAGAAGTCCAGGGTATTCAGAAAAGTGTGCAACGAGCGACGCTTTGGCGTTTCGCTCAAACCATAGACCATAGACCTTTTTCTAGTCTATATAGTTATATACTACTCTATTGTTCCCACGGCCTGAGGTACGTAAATAATCCAGCACATTCTCCTATCTTACGTTTACCACATGGCTTCAACAAGCTGGACACCATTACGGACACTTATATGCATTCAAAAATACATTTTCTTTTAAAATTTGTATATATCTTTATGCATTTCTAAAAAAATGGACATACAAATTAAATTAATATGCCATTAAACATTATCGACAACGCAATGTATGTTTCTGATTAGCGACATCACAATGCATTTATATTTTATATCTGCAAAAATATAGATTTCAGTCCTTAGAGTTTTTATATCCCGTTGAACAACAGAAACTTTTGATATCTCCCAAAAAAAACACTTACGTGTAAAAAACTACGCTAAGTACAGGAGTGCTGTAAATTCCTGTGACAAAAAGTATTGAAATCATATTACTACTGCTTCCCTTAGTTGATTATGATTTAATGGCCATTTCATAATTAATAAAACTTTGGGTGATTCCTTATCGAGTACTACTTGGCTTGTCCGTGCATTTCTTGATATAAATTTGGACCCGCCAAGTAGTACTGGATAAGGAATCATCTAAAGTTTTATTAATTATTAAATGGCCATTAAATCATAATCAACTACGGGAAGTAGTAGTAATGTAAAAGAGTAGCAATAACATTATAGGAAATTTTGAAAATACAATTAAAATGATGGGCCGGTGCTAGATCATATAGTAGGCAAACATGTAGTGACTTATGTACTTGGCTTCAATAATATGTTTCCAATACTCTTTGTCACAGAAATTCAAAGCACTCCTGTACTTGGCGTAGTTTTTTTACACGTAAGTGTTTTTTTTTCGGGAGATTCATCTTTCGTTACACTTCATCGCAAATAGCCCAGGTACGTATATTAATGTATTCTCAACAAAAATTTTCATTACACAATCTTCTGGACAGATGTCGACTATATCATTTATATATACAGGGTGTTCGTTATGAAACGCACTGTAGTAACATTGCTACATTCCTTTTCAAATTCTAATGAATACGTGTATTTTCATTATTTATTTCATATATCAAAATTTCGAGATAATGAAAGTTGAAGTTGCAGTAATGCGACCAATCAGAACGTGTTTAAACAGAGCGTAACTTCCACGTGTAATTCAACGGGAGATAAATTTCATATTTGCCTACTACGAAAGATCTGTATTATATCTTACAAGGACTATAAACTCTTAAGGAATATGCTTTATAAATTATGAAAAGTTGTCAATTGCATTAGAATTTTATTGCGATTCGTCAACTGGATGTAGCACGAATCGCTGGAGATCAATGGAAGAAAAGCGAGATCAGGATAATCTACGTAAGACGTCACAGAGATATCTGTGTAAGTCAAATCGCATTATCATAGAACATTGCAGTTTTCAGTTAGTGCTTGACTGTTCAACTGAGAACTTATGTTCTCAGCGAGTGAAATCCAATAGGCGTGTCTTCGGCTGACGTCATCCTGCCCGAAGCCACCGAGAAACAAAAGCGAGGGAAGAAAATTCAGAGTTCGTAGGTGCCTACGTTTCTCTTGACCCTTCGCTCTGATTGGTCAACTCTGACCTGCTCCCATTTAAAAACTATGACCTTCCAGACAAAAGGAAGGTCATTTTCGTGATCAGTAGTATCTCCCAAACACCGCCATACCCCGTTGGTCAAGTAATTTCTGAACACCCTATACAGTCTAGGTAGAAGAAAAAACTTGATGGGGGGCGGCGTAGGAAATGAAAGAATAATTAAGGAATAGAGGACCTCGAGAAAATGTTTAAAAGGCTCCCCAAGAAGAAAGGTACAGAAAAAGGAATATCAAGTGAAATACT